ATCTGTGTAGTGAGATCCTGTAGAATCTGTACTAAAAATACATTTTTAAAAATCAGTTGCATTTTTCTCCATTATCAACAAATCAGTTAGAAGATATAATTGAAAATAAAACATTGAGGAAAATAAACACTAAATGCATCTGCAAATTAATTGTGTTATGTAGTCTGTTTTAAGTTTATCAAGGCAAAGATGAGAAATCATAAGGATGCAAAAGAAGATTTACATAAATTACATGATATCTAGTGATAGCTTAGTACAAAAATAGAAGAAGGAGCTTTATTGCACAAATCTGTAATGAAAGGCAGAGCTGTTGAGAGAAGGTTTTGTAAAAACTGGTGCACTTTTTGGAAAAAAAAGTGTACCCGGGTGCAGATGAATTAAAGATATACTAGGAGAATCAAAAATAAAGAAGTAGAAAATATTAAAAAAATTCTTAGTGTCCTACAGGTGGGGAAGAATTTCCTAAGGAAAGCCCAATAATATAGCCAATCAGGGCTGGTGAGATTGCTCAGTGGTCTAAAGCACCTACTTAGAACAAGTTTAGCAAAGCACAGGGACCGCGGTTCAATCCCCCAGCACCACATGCCAGCCAGCCCCACCCCCTGGTGGGCTGAGCTGGCCTCCCCCCCACATAAATAAATAAAATTAAAAATAAATAAATAAAATAAATTTCACATTAAAAAATATAGCCAATCAATATTGACAGATTTGATTATACCACAAGTATGATTTCTGTTCATTAAAGGATATTATAAGTAAAGTTAATTGACAGACAACAGAAATATCAGACTCACTTGTAATTAGGCAAGTGGTAAGTAAACCAACAGATATCATTTTGTATCCATTAGCTGTCACGTATAAGAAAGTGGACAGTATGAAGAAAAGAGAGTTGCCAGCGTCTCTGAGAAGTATAGACTGGGCAGCGCTTTCGGCCAGTATGCCGGTGGGATTTGCACAGACTGAGTATGTGTGAGCCTTTTGATCCTGTGGCTCTGCTCCCAGAGCTGAGCTCAATGCTGTGTTGCTCTGTGCAGGGACCTCTACAAAGAGCTGATCACCATGTACTCACACAGATTGAAACCATCTCCAGTATGTGTCATCGCCCGGGGAACAGCTAGGCCAAAGTTAGATTAGTATATAGTAATTAGAAACCTGGGGATGGGTGTGATCAGTAACATTGTGAAATAGTCAGAATGTAGCCCTCAGAGATACAGGTAGAAACAGGAGATAGGAAACCAAAAAAGTACTCGTAGAAGTGACCTATACACAAACAAGACAAGAAGACCTACAAATAACAGGCTACCTATCGAACCTATAAGATGCGGACAGTCTGGTGAAGGGATAGGGCTAGATGAAGAAACAGAAAAGAAGAAGAATTTAAAACAAAAGAGGGAACATAAATAATCACAAACAAACAAAGAGGCAGTTTGCAGGAAGGGGGTTGAGAGAGCCACTAACTGTGCTGCTTGCATACTCTCTTTTTTTTGCTCCTAAAGTAAAAAAAAAAAAAAAAAACACAAAATCTTTCTGCGAAGTAAGGTTCCAAAAACGTGATAAATTATGGATTGTGTATGAGGAGAAAGAAAAACTACCAAAGTTCAGTTGCATCTTCCCAGTCCTTTGAAAGCATTTATTTTTTAAAAGAAAACCACCTCTTTATCCTTCTCAGCATGTGCTGAGACCGTGTCGTGCTGTATCATTACGTGTTCTCTCCCATGATGAGCGAGGCTGCCGAAGGGTGGCATCTGAATAAATCTGTCTCTCTTCTGTTTTCAGTTATCTAATTTGAAAGGTTTGGAGGGTAGAACCCAGTTTCTGTAAATTCATTTGAAAGTGATACAGGAAGCTGACCTTGCAAGTTTCTTTTGCTTTAAAATTCAGTGTATGACTCCTTGGGAAAGCTTGGGAGCAATGTTCTCAGTGGCAACCTGGACAGGCTGGGATCTTCCAGCGAGTGCCTCTCCGCCCACAGCCCCACAAGAGGCTTCCAAGGGCAGTACTGCAAGCTGCATGTACTCCAGGTGAGCAGGAGGGCCCCGTGTATTTGGTTTTGAAGGACAAGCAAATGTCATGATGTGGGACAAAATACAACTGCACCAATTGCTTTTCTTAATTAAATACACAAAAAACTATTACAATGTTTTGCAAAAAGTTAAAGCTAAATTTTAATAGCAGAAACTGGCTTAGCCTATTCTGAGAGCAGTATAGTATATGAGGGACTTGTCCCCAAACCACACAGCATGGGGCAAGACCTCTGGATGATCTTCATGGGGAATCCAACTCTAAGACCTGGCCAGCAACTTCACTGGGTGGATCCTGTGCGTGCTCATTGGGTTGGTTGGCAGCTGCCTCCAGGCACAGCCACTGCTGGGATTCAGCAGGGACTCTCATTCTTGGGGTGCTGAGGGTCTCACCGGGCTCCCTACCAAATCCCTACTGTGTCCTTGCCATTGGGAAGCCTCATTGTTATCTGGTACCTTACTGAACAAGAGAAGGAGCTTTGAACACAGTTCCTGAGCACTAGCTCCTGAATTTCCATCAAATTTTGGAGTACCAGAGGGAGGGTAGACTGTCCATTTCTTTTTTCCAACAACCAGAGTTCTGAACCCAAATGTGGGATTATGTTAGCAGATGAACCATGTCTTTATAAATTCATTACTCAACCAATTGACCCATATTGCAGGGCTCACTGTCTTCAAAGCACAATTATTTTATTGCTTGGGGAAAAATATTCTAGGGATAGCATAGTCTCTTATTAAATAGAGGGTAGATTTTATGCATGTCACACAATAATAAAAGAAATTTACTGTACTGGTTGGCTAAATACAATTGTCTGAAATAAGAAATGCAAGCTTCCCAATATCAATGCTAAAGATGCTTAGAATGGCTGACCATGGACTTGGGGAGATTGTCATTCAGCTTCCTTTGTATTATTGAGGGTTGGGATAATGACCGCTTGAGGGCTTAATCAGTGTGTACAAATGTCATTTTCAAAGCAGATTAATGGTTTTGATATTAGAGCAAAAGGTCAGGCCTACACAATCATGTAAGTTATGAGTTTATAAGAAATAGGCTGGAAATTTTATTTACAATTTGATCTTCTGTTTATTGAGACCGACATTCTAATTTTTGGCTTGACTTATTAATAAAATCTTTACTTGATACATTGTAGCTTACCACCCAGAAATGTCAACTTGGCAGTTGGCTAAAAATCATAGTGGAGTTAGCGGTTAATGGCCACTTGTCTGGAACAGAGATTCTGTGGGACAGATTATGAAAAACCAGTGGCTGCTTCTTAAAGAATCAGCTATTTTAAGCCACATATTTTATTCTAAATATAGGCACATCTAGTGCTCTTGAAATTCACTCTGTAATGGCAAAGCCATGCCTTCAGAAGTTAGAAACCTTTTCTTCTTTCAAATCCATCCTCTTCCTTAGTCTGCTTAATGTATGATTAGTGCAGCGGCAGCCTCACTTAGAGATGATCATGTGTATGTGCTAGGAACACTAAAATTTAAACGCATGGTGACATTGTGTTTCCCAGGATGGAGCGGATTACAGCGTGGGAGTCTGTATCCCTGATTCTTGTACCGAAGAGGATGTGACTATGATGTCTCAGCTGGGTAGGTACAAAGAATATACAATGGAACCATTTCCTTGGCAGAGTTTGGAAACCCCCAACTCCTCACGTCCAGCAAAGGCAATTCTTTCAGGATTGAACCGATTCTTTCAGGACTGAACTGAATGTTCATCCTCCTCAGTCCACTAACCTGAGAATAATGGAGTGCTGGGGGCTTGGGAACAGAGATGATGGCATAGCAATTGGGCCGGCAGGAGGGAAGAGAAAGACCATGATGAGGTGATGGGAGCTGAATGTGTAGTAAAGATGCAAAGTTAAACAGTCCTCTCTCACCCATAGCTGCCTGGTTAGCCTGGAGACAGGAGGGGGGTGGTGTCCGGTTTCCATATTGTGCATGTTCTCTGTTCTGGCCCATGTGTTTGGCACTGGCTGGACCCAGCAGTCATTCTGAGCTAGGACTGTACGAGGCCAACGCGTTGTAGTGGATTAGTGCTAAGAGCCCTGCATTTGGTCCTGGTTGTCACTTCCCAGCTGTGTGAGCTTGGGCAAATCACTTAATCTCCCCAAGCTTCAGCCTCTTCTGTGCAGTGCGGGTGGGCTCTGGAGCTCAGCTGGCTCTAGCTCTATAATCACTTCTGACCTTAGCTGTGTAGGGGAAACACATTTTAGTCCACATGGAATGGATTTGATTTCCTCTAAGTCTTTCAAAATTTCCCGTGCAAGAAACTTAGAGCCCGAAACTTTCTGCTGCCTGTGTCTTTTGGATCTATTCTCCTTTAAGGTGCTGATATTGCAGCTAGTGTACAATAACAACTTTCTTGACTGTGTGATGGTTCCCATGGATTGGGTACATTATCTAGCTAGCCTTGTATTTCATATACTGCTTTGTTTGTTTGTTTTTGCATTTTTAGGGAAGGCTGTACAGGGTGTTCAGGGTCTCACTATTAGATCGGGCTCATGGTGATCCACCTGTTTACAGCTTCCCAAGATCTGGGATTACAGGCATGCACCACCACACCCAGTCTTTCATATACTGTTAAAACAGGAAAGCCAAACAAGATCTGGGGGTGTAAGTTGTTGTTAATGGACTTGCCTAAAGTGCTAACATATGCAAGGTCCTGGGCTTCATCTTCAGCGCTGAAAGAAATCAAACTTTGCTATGAATCAAATTCAAATTCCAGTTTGTTTTTTTTTTTCACCAAATAAGTGAAAAGACAACTCACAGAATGGGAAAAATTATAGTCTCTTGTTTCTCAGACTAAGTACTTATACATAAAACACAAAAAATTTGAAAAAAACAGGACCCTCCCAATTCAAAGGCCTAGTCCAAAAATGGGTATCTGAAATTAATAAACATTTCTCAGATGAAAAAACAAAAATGGTAAGTATATGAAAAAATGTTCAACATTATTGGTTATTCAAGAGATGCAATTTAGGGGCTGGGGCTGGGGAGATAGCTCAGTAGAATAAGCATTTGCCTGGCAAGCGCAAGGGTGAGTTCAATCCCCGCTTCCACAAAGAGAGAGAGAGAGAGAGAGAGAGAGAGAGAGAGAGAGAGAGAGAACTTAAAACAATGCTGATATTCGATCTCCCCCTCAGTCATCAAGAAGTCAATGGATAACCAATGCTAGAGGTGCTTTGGGGAGAAAGGAGCCCTTCTCCACTGCTGGTGGGAGTGCAGACTGGTACAACCACTGTAGAAACCCATATAGGGATGCCTCAAAACACTAAGATGAGAGGGCCCATTTGACCCAGCTATTCTCCATCTGGGTATCTTCCCAGAAGAATTAAAAACATAGTATCACAGCAATATAGTGCACCCGTGTTTATAGCAGCGTAACTGATCATAGCTAAATCTTGGAAGCATACCAAGTACCCATCAACTGAGGAATGGATAAAAGAAATGTTTTTTTTTTAATACAATGAAGTACTATGCAGTCATAAAGAAGGATAAACTTGCGACTTTTTAGGTAAATGGATGCAACTTGAGACTATATTCTTTAGTGAAATAAATCAGACTTGCATGTGTAGACATCATATTGTCTCTCTTTTATGAGAAGGTGAAAGAGTAAATAAGATCCAAAATATACGATAGATACTGTGAAGTAGGAAGAAACTGTTCAAAAGGAAAGAGAAACTGAGATGGGAAACA